GTTGGTGGTAACATCTTTGTGGGAAAAATGATGTTTCTCCAGTTCCTGCATTTAAGCTTTTGTATTTTCTCTCACAGACTATCTATATATTTACATATACAGTGACTATATCTATACCTGTTCCCTACCTTTATACATGTACGTATGCCCATTGCTCTGGTGGCCAATCTCAGGTAAACCATTGATTGCTTGGTACCCTGACATCTACGGATTGGACTGTGGTATACACGTACATCTTTATACGCACATAACACTTTTTATGTTTTTCCACATTTACTGTGATGGGCATTATTACCTTGCAACCATCTAACTTAAATTAGTGCAGTTTTTGGCATATTGTCGCTAGTGTGCACAGACATTAATTTCAAACAAGGTAAGCAACATATGCATTTAATATCTTTTCTATTTTGATGGAGTCAAACGGTGCAGCCAAGCTGAGGTATGTATTTAAGCAACAACCAGGATTGGTGCTAAGTGAGGTTTTCTGCATTTGTTAGAAAGTGGAAGATTCTTCCAGAAGACTTTAAAGTTGCTACATATATGTTTGGTCATCTAACCTTTGTGAAAAGAACTTGTTTGCTTAATGTTAATGCCTCATATGATCATAATTGAGAAAAATACCTAATTTTTAAAGGTGCACGTCAATTTAATGAGAATTTCCCAAATTTGAAGAGTTGACTTGTCTTGTCCATTGTGCAGAGAGACAGGTTGTTCCACCAAGACCTACCATCCCACCAAGACCCAACACCCAGCTCAGCTCTCATTCCAGTGAGCAAACCTGCTCCTCCTCAGCCTCCAGTAGTCGCAACAGCTACACATCCTCAGCTGGAGAGGAGGAGAACGCCCCTGACCAGACGGATTTTGCAGACTTCAGCCAGTTTGAGAGCATGGCAGCCAGTGATGGATCCATGTTAACAGCCACTGGCCATGGTGATTACGTGCCAATGGTAGGTGATCTACAGCAAAAATCTCGGAAGATTGGATGAGTCCAATTTTAATACATTTATGGAAGTTTTTGAAATTTTTTCAGGCTTTTTTATCTAAATATAAACTGCGATATTTGTGAGCCCTTGAGCAGAGAAGTGTGTTCAGTAGACTGAAGGCAAAAGCTTTAGGGTCATGTTAATAAATGTTACGACAACGGTGTTTGAGAACTTTTCGTGCTTGGTTAGTTGCCATGTTTTGTTTATATTTGAACTTTTATGGCGCAAAACAGTCACCAATTATGTACTAAGCAAGTGTATACATTAGGCTCATGATTGAAACCCTTGACCTTGGTGGCGGTAGAGTGAGCTCCTAAATTGGAATCATAGCTGCGATACCATTCATTGTCAGGACATTGTATTAAAAAGTGTAAAGGACTGTCCAGTTTTTACCAAAGTGTAAAGGCAGAAATGGTGTCCTCGTGTTTCAAACAGAAATACGGATATCTGCTCAAAATATTTTGAAATTCATTTCACGAGTGACACTTGATATGTGCTTATTGTCAACTATCTTAATGGGTTGTACCTTTTCTTCATCATCAGGATGAAATTTCCCCTGGCACATCCCCACCGCCTCCTCCCCCACCCAGGCATTCACAGGGTGATGACCACACTCCTGCCAAGCCATCAAAAGGGGTTAGTATCTCAGGGGAACCCGGTCAACATGGTCAAGGAGATATTCTTGTGCACACATACACTTGGACTATTGTGACATGTTTTTTGGCCATTTGTACAGTTTTGCTGTTTGAGGTAACAATTTTATACAGCCAACTGAAATTTTTTTTTTCACAATTAAGTGCATCATCTCTTCAGCGAATGAGTTTCAGTTTAAGTAATATTGAAATATTTCTCAGAAAAAGCCTGCTGGTGACATCTTTTCCCTTCAACATTTTCTTTAAGAGACCCTTAACCACTTTGCGCCGGGATTAATTATCAATGTTGGTGATGCTGGGCCGGGATAATTATCATTTTTTCTGTTTTTCAAAATTCTTCAAAAATTCATCATTTCATTTAACGCACGTTTATACCCACATGAAGTAATCTTTAGGCTCTACTCTAAGTTGACAGGTGACCTTTATTGACGCCCGAGTGTTTCTTTTGTCCCGGTGGTAATCCGCTCGCTCTAAACACCCCAAACTGTGGTATGCTGTTTCAAAACAATGTTGGATTATCTCCACTTTTGAGAGTGAAAAATGTCGGTAATGCCCAGCAGCCTGATCTTTTGTTCGGAGTACGATGATGGTTTTTTTTTTTACAAAAATTACCTGTGAAATGACACTACGGGTCTTACGTAACTCTCTGTAAGAAGTTACGAGAGGGGGAAATATGATAACGAACTCTCACTTTTTACCTCTTATGAAATCAGTCAGGTGAACTACAAGCACTCTTACTGAAAATGGGGTACTTTTTGACAATTTCACATATTTGTATTTTTGGGGCACACTGTCCGCAGAATGTGACATCGCCACAGCTAACTAGCAGAGACCGGTATAAATCCAGTGACATGCTGCAAGCTGAGGAGAAGAGATCACAATTTGCTAATGACAGGAAACGACACACGTCGGCACCAGAGCCAGTTAGGGTGTCATCAGAGTAAGTCATTTGATAGTAGTTCATGTAGATGTAAGGACCTACATATAGAAAGGATTCAAGAAAGGCAGTTATGATAAATTAATCTGATGACGATGTGTTGTAAGAAGGCAGAATTGCTGTGGCACAATGATATACATGTATATTTAAGTACTTTGGTTAACAGAATGTAAATTTCAAATAAAACATTGTTTAAAAAACACCTAAAAAGTCAAGGCTTGAAAATCAGTGAATACTAATACTAGTAGAGGATAGAACAGAAGTTTTGTATGTGGTTTAAAGAAGCTACCGGGTAGCTAGCAACACCTGCAAAATTTGAAAGTGACCTCTGATTCGCACGTTGGCATATCATCATTTTTCATATTCAGAAAAAGCATAGATACGGTCTAAACCCCCCATACGGTTTGTACGCTCGAGAAAATGATGAAAATTATGGATGGCCCCTGGCCCTCTTACTGAAACCAGTGAAATCTTGCCTTTGACACTATATTACCGGGACATTTAAACATCCTCAAGATAAGCCAACTGTCAAATGCACAACTTGAGCATTTCCTTTTGAAGTCAAATCCTTGAAAACCGTAAAATGAAACATTTTTACTTGTTGATTTGTCTCATACGTGATTCTCTTCCTTGCTTATAGTTGACAGAAAATTACACAGAAAATGAACAATGGTGTAATGGATGATTGATTCTTTTTATATGTTCACCTCTGAGAAGGTTGAAATGTAACACATTGTTTTAGGATGACTGGTGGCATGTCAGAGGTTATGTTGCATGGTTAGCAATCAGTGCTTTGGGACCTTTAACCAGCTCGGTCCTGACATGCTTAGACCATTCATCAGGGAAACAGGTGCAGCTTGGTCCACTTGTGTACAAGGTATAAAAAGAAAAGATACCTCTACAAAAAAATACTTCATTCAGTTGTTTGGATGACTTTGTTTCAGCCTGATACAGTGTGACAGGAAGTCTATTCAGGCAGCAATCCGGAGGGCGAAAGAGGAGAACACCAAGCTATCCAGACTGAACAGTGAGCTACAACAAGAACTGAGTCAAATCACTGAAGAGAGACTCTCCTTGGAGATAGACCTGAAGAAGCTCCGGCCGTTTGCTGTCACTACGTAGGACTTTCAGCGAGATTGACTGTTCTCGTGTTAATCTCACAAGCTATCTGAATATGCTTACCTTTCCCGTCTTGAATTCTTGAGAGCTTCTTTCTTGTATTGCTCTGTAAAGGAATAAGCACAGTTTACTCCAGAAGCATGATGGAAGACTAACCTCATTGGTGTGTTTGTTGAGCAATCCCCTACCTACATGTATGCCTGCTATAAAGACTGATTTGGTCGCCAATTTGTTAGCGTTTGTGGTAGATTGCTGGGCATGTTCCCCTTGGTTGAATGAAATAATCTGTATCCCTGGTGAAAAAAATACGCTGAGCAATTTGCTGATCATGGAGTAAACAGTAAAAATTTCTTCTGGTGACTTTGCTTAAGATTGATTTTTGTGAATGTTTTGCTCAGTAAATGGATTTACTTGAGAGACAGTGGCCCCGTTTTTCTTGATACCCTTGCTTGCTTCTTTTACATGTGATGCGTAGGCATTGCTTAGACACACACTGACTTTAAGACTGTAATCTATCCTGTGTACATGCTCAGCTGTAGCTTTGGCTGAGGCCGGTGGCATGGTTCAGTAATGGAAGATAGCCATAGCCTTTTTTTTCTCACGTGTTCAAAGTTACTCATTAGATTAGATGACAAGTGAATTTGGCCAGTAAAAGTATTGTATATGCATCATGCTGTGACTCGGTGATCCACCGAGTAATAGAGAACCGAAGTGAACACGTCAACACGCACAATTATTTGTGTAAAAGGCTTTAGCGCAAGAAGATATGCGTGAACGAACACGTTTGTGCAGTCCATATGTTGCACTACAGCTCTCAGCTGAAAATGACGTCACAATTTGGTACTGTCAGGGTATGAACCCCAGACCATTTGGTAACTTGTCCAACATTTTGGTGTTGACTTCCTCTAACTCTAACATTCTCAGTGCAATGCAGTTTTTTGTTTTTTTAGCTTTTACTGCGTCTTTGGTCAGAGATGATGAATCTATTGGGAGCACGTCACAACAGGATTCTCTGCAGTTGATGAGGGAACAGCATGCGAGCAACCGCTTGTCTCTAGTTCATGTCCTGGCCTATCCCAAATCCTTTGCTGAACGCAGTAATGCTGTCTTTTTGTCTCACCTGATGTAGTTACCCCCTGATCAACATGTTACTCTGCAGAAGTACTCTAGATAATGGTTTCATTTTTCTCTCAGACACCATTCCCGACACTTTGTGTGGGACGGCTTGTGTATACGTCTTTAGTTGTGTCTCAGATTGTGCGCATTTCTGCATAAAATTGGATTTTTGCCATGAAAGCCTTCAACCTTACCACAACATTAAAGTAAAACTCAGTGTAGCTTGGTGCAGGGTTTGGTTGGTTTTGCCTGTGTCGTTTTTGGAGGGGGGCTTGTTCTTTTTCAAGGTTTTTTAAAAAATCTCCATCTCACATTTTCATTCCCTGAACATAAGAAAAAGAACCTGTCATTATTATCGGAGGCTGATTTTTTAAAACAAATGTGTGGCTGATGATCTGGGCTCCCATGAAGCTTTTGTATACCAACTTGTTTTACATTGTTTGCAAACATCTTGAATGATTGGTTTGGTTTGCACCATGTTCTGCCATTGTTGTTACTACCTGTATCGATGCTGGTGTTTGTTACTGATAGAGTTATTCTGCTTGTGCGTATTTAGTGCGCTCTGTGTCAAAGTCATCTCTTAATTGACTAAGGATGTTTAGGTACTATACACCCAAATATTTATTGTGCTGCAGTCTATAGCACAGGCTCCGTATAGGCATAACAGTAAACCTAGCCAGGCCCTCCAGACCTCTGAAGAATGCCAGACAGAACCCTGTGTTCCTTGTTTCCCTTCAGTGGAGTTCTGCTGCTACTTCCTGCTGTCCCCCCCCCAGTCATTACATGTGTCAACTACTTTTAATTTTCACCAGTGTTTATATAACAGTGGGATATAACATTTCTTTCAAAGGGACATCTGAAACGGTTTTCCTGTGTCTTCGAATAGTCTGTAGATCGCAGCTTATGTAGCCAAAGTTCCCCGACTCTTCAATAGTACATTTGTACATGTATGCGTATACATAAACGTATGTATCTTTGTAACTGTACATGTATGTGAGAGGAGTTTGTGCTAAGCAGACCTGTCCTAGACATAGAGATTGTAATTTGTTACTATTTTTTATGCAGTCATTGTTGATAGATCAATATTCCTGTCCATTAGCAGGAAAAATTGTGTGCTTCGTGGCATCCTGAAATGGGCCATTGTACTGAAAAGCACTAAGTGAAGCAATTTTTGAGATTTAAAGTCCAATGAGATGTCTATTCAAAATCTGCTCCACGTGTGCCATCAAGCCACAAGTCAGTGAATGTGACGTGGTGCTGAAATCAAGATTTACCCCTCGTTTGCATATCTTGCTTTGTTTCGTAAATGTTGAATATGTACATTTTTTGAAGTATTGTTTGTTGTGTCACATGGTGTGTGCTCAGAAGGCTCAGTGCCTGAGATGGTTGTTAACATTCATATGTACATTTGCCATCGTCCTTGTTTACTAGTGTTTCTATTGTATTACGGATATCCCATGATGCTTTTGGGCAATTAGCCTCTGACAATTTGTGTGTTACAACCCTTTAGTTAAGGTTTTAAGTGCAGAGCACATTCTCCTCAGTGCTGCACAAGTTGTCAAATATGTCAGCCCAGTTAGGGCCACTCAAACTCTTTGCTTGTCCTTATTTTTGTGTGCGGAGTTAATTAGCCCGTAGCTGTACAGTGTAATCTTGGACGGTCAAGTTGGATCAAAGTGTGAATGTCTCCTGCCATTCATTGTGACACACACAACTATTGATAATTAGCAAAGCAACCAATCTTGGTGGGCGGGTGTCTGAATGGACTACTAGATTGCTGTAACCATTGTTGGTTAACTTGAAGGATAGTCGAGCAACGGCGCAGCCCTGTTGATGAAGCCTGTTCCATAGGATCATACTTTATGATTGTTAGTCGCATCCTGTCTCATGGTGCTTCAGCCACCGTTATTGCCTATGCTTGTGTCTTAATGCTATCACCATTTTTTTTTCTAGTTTAAAATATAACAAATCTTTTGTGGCAAAAACGTGCAATTTGGCAGTGTATGGGGGCGGGGCAACATGAGTTAAACCTACCTTTGCTGCCTAGACTACACTGTCTATGAGTTTAACACTGATGTAAAGGAATATACATGTACGTGTATATACTCCATTGCTACAGTACCAGAGCAAGGACATAGATAGAAATGCATTCGTGTGTACAAGATTGAGTACAGAAAGAGCCATGAGAAAACAGATTCCAAACTCAAGTTTGCTCAACACTATATAGGAAGGTAAACTATCCCTGCAGATTTCCAAGTTGCATCACTGTGCTTTGTACAACCTTGAATTGACAAGGGCAATCCCTAACAAAACAGCTTTAATATAGTCAAACCTCATTAATAAGAACACTGTTAGCACAAGATTCTGTTTATAACAAGGACATTTTAAAGTCCCCATCCTTTTGTTTTTCATTGTTTTCATTCTTGATGATACAAGGTTTCTGTCATAACATTGAATTTGCCAAGTCCGAACAACCTCTTATTAACGAGGTTCAACTGTATTTCTAATAGAGCCGTAAGTTTGTACATGTAAATGGATGTAAGTGTTCATGCACATTGTATATTGCCCTGACGGTTGGAAACAAGTGCACATTCCTCAGAGGAACGTACTGAAGCACATTGAGGCCTATTTTTCAATTGAAAAAGTATATTTATTTATTCCAAATATACGAACAAACTGTTCATCTACTATAATATTGGTGTCTTTGATATGATGGTGCTGGAACCATTGAGTGATTCAACGTGGGCATTGTATGGAGGGCTGTGAAGTCCTGACAGATGAAGTTATAGGTGTGATATATTCCCCCCCCCATTTTATGAGTGAAGACAGGGTCTGTGTTATCCCTCATTGATTGATAGTATATGCCAGAAGTCATGTTTGTACAAGTTTAATTCCATACTTGGTTTTACAGATAAATCTGGTGACTATGGAAACACTGTCACTGGTAGTTTGCAGTAGCATTGTCCAATAGGGGTGGTAAGCGTTGTGATAATCATTGTATCGAGCCACTGTTCCATGATAGTTCCTCCACACAGAACCCACTATAAAAAGGGGGCCATTAGGAATGTCCATGATTCATCTCGAGGAATGTGTGTGGCAGATATGACCAATCAATTCTTTGTAAACCTTTCCTTTAGAATTGATGGTTCTTTATTTGAACAAATTCTTCAGAGAACTTTTAGGGGTCCAGAACATGCTCACTATGCTGTATAGAGTAGACCTATTCATAGTGCTCATGCGGGGCCTCACGTCTGTGTCCGAGTCGTCTTTATGTCTGCATGCAGTATGTGGACAAGGCTTTATTTAACCCGGTTTGTTCTTCTAAGAAAAGTTTGCAACAGCATGACTGTTGCAGCTTCATTCTTTTCTTCCCATGCATTTTTTTCTCTTGATAATTTTTGCTGCATTTGTTCTTCAAGTACTTAAATCTAAATCTGTTGCCTCCATGTTGTTTTGGAATTATGAGATCAAACCTTGGACTTGAACTTCAGACTGACAGATTTGAAATAAAACTTGATGAGCAACTTACCATGTATATGTTACTGAAATGTGGATGGGATAGTGGAGTTAACAGTGAAAGGAATTTGAAAAAAAAATTATTATGCTAATTTAAATAAATAAGTTAATTTTTCCAGTGTTACTCATTAATATTCAAGAGTAAGGCTTGGTAACCAGTGTATTTTGGAGATGGAAAGATAATGTTCAGAGGGATCCAAAATGTACTTTTAATGGCCGTTGCATGAATTTTAGGAGTTTGTTTTTATCCAAATTACCTATGTAAAACATTAAGATTGGATTTCCTATGAAGTTATTTCTGATTTCTTTGTGAACACTGATTTCAAGGAAAAGATAAAGGATGAAGCATTTTGATTTCATAAGTTGTACCTTTTTAAATCGATGAACCATTGAACAGTGGATTCACTTTTTTCACACGTCCTGATTGTTATTCATTCCATCATTTGCCAGAAAATAAGGTCAATTAAACTAAAACAAAATATGCAAGAGAAAAAAATCTCACTGTAGATATTGGGGTTTCAAAAACTGTTAATGCATCAGTGCCAGTCATTTCTAATAACTTACCCTAACCCCCTAGGGTGTATGTAAAATCTATTGAAATCGGAGGATTTGGGACTGTTAGGGATTGCTCATGCTTTGCTGCAATGTTTACCGTCCAGTTCCGGATTGACTTTTCATCTGCTTGACCAAAGCATTACTGAAGCTTAATACTTTGAATGTATCTAATAGACGGGTAGTGTGTTTATTTGGAGGAAAAAAAAGTGAATGCATAAGACTTTGGATACTGCATCTCAGTGTTCTCGGAAGATGTTTGGTTGCTAGGGCTACTGAAACATATTCAAAATAATTTTTTCCCAATTTGGAACACTGTTAGCAAAATGAACATTATGCAGCCAAATGTGCAGTAGAATACACATTTTGGTGTTGGCATGGAGGTTTTTTCATTCTCCCAAGTAGATGCCAACATATTGCACAGGCCTTACGAGAGAACTTTTTAAGACTTTTTTTGGACAATTTCAAATGAACTTTCAAATGAAGGATACGCTGATGGTGTCTCAAAGAGTGACTCAAAGATGTTCAGTAGGTGGAGAAAGTTTTGGTGCAGAAATAAATGTTATATATTATGAATTGAGGATTTACGTCTATTGTCAGCAGCAATCTAAAATTTGGTGATTTTGGGCAAATCTGTGCAGCTTTGTATGCAGAAGATACAGACTGAGAGATTTTACTGGAGCGTAAGTTTCTTCAACATTAACACAATTATAGGGACACACAGTATATTGGTTTTCACTTGAAAAAAAAAGCCAGCTATTTTCAATACCTAAATCTTTGTCTCGGACTTTTAGTTTGCTGTTGTGGCTAATCTCTGCCCAGGCCACACTTAAGACATCAGTGAGATTAAAAACCTTTAATGCCCAAGCAAGCATGCCCAATGTGTATACTTTGTAAATTTGCTATATTGTATATGTATAATAAATTTCAATATATCCTCTTAGACGAAAAGACCCAGTAGTCTGAAACCTCACAGAGAAATGTTGATAGTGCAACATGAAATGTGCTCATCATTTAGATGAGATTCCAGAAGGTTGTTAGATGAAACATACATCTAGCATTGCCACATTAAAAAACAGTTGGTAATAAAGTAATAAAATAAAGAAAAATTTAATATTTATGATCACGAGTGTGGTGTCCTTTATTATCAAATGCACTGTGTGTACAGCCAGTCTTTGCTATTGTACAGTTAGAAAGAAAACAAAATTAGCTTCTTTGCGATCTGGCACTCGAAATGTGAACATATGTTGGTACTTTTGAACCATTGATCATCACATGGTCAAGGTGAGAGGGTTTAAAGATCCATCGAACTGAGAGAGATATTGACAAATGGGAAGAGCCACCAATGTAGGGCTGGATACCTCAGTTGGTAGAGCACTCGTTCGGTGTTCCAGAGGTCGCAGGTTCGAATCCTGCTCCAATCAATTTCTTTAATCATCAAAAAATTGAAGGTTCATTTTAGTTTTCACAGACGTAGTCTAATTTTGAGTCGCTGTATACAGCTAGGAAAAGAAATCTTCCAGGGTTTGAACTATTTCATTTCAAAATAATCTCCAGAGGGCGCAATGACCAGTCCAAAATTGTTAAGACTACACCTGACCGGGCACTTGTCTCTGGAATTGATGCACACGTGCATTGTCTAGGCGCATGCCAAGTCACGCCAACACTAAATTCATATACTAACCAATATTAGTGAACCACGTGACCATATGTAAACCGACACAGAACCAGGAAGAGGTGTGTTATCAAGGTGGTTATTCACAACTCAATATGCAGACACACGTCAACAGAAATTGATAAGAATGAGGGGGAAAAATAAATTCAGTATGGTGAGACAAATTTGACTTTTTGACAGTTGATTCCTTCGTTTTATTACCGTATTACATCATAGGCTTTAAAAAGGTTGGCTAGAAAGTTGGCCAGCAATACATGAACTGCAAAGCCTCATATAATGCACCATCGATTGGAACTTCAAATGATATTAAAGATAATATATATGCATGTGCACTACTTGTTTAAGACCCAACATGTTAAGGCCCACAAAGGTCAATTTATCGTACCGGTAGTTTTTTACACCACCTGCCTACAAGCTGCCATATTGTTCTTGTCAGTTTTTCCGTACATCAAAACCGAATGCATTAACTTAAACCAGACCTAGTTTATGTCAATGCACTTTTACTACTGTAAATGGTTACACATGTAGAGCTCAAGTTTCTTTGTCCATTCACTTAAAAATTACACATTTAGGTTAGTTCAGAATGAAAACTCATGGATTGCACGTCTATCATAAATTCCAATGAGACATTTGCATTTCATGTGGTTTCCCTACCAATGGAAGCAGCACTTAAAATCCGTTTAATGTGGGAACATTGACAAAAACAACGACCAAAAGGAGCCTCAACTTTGTGGATTCTAAACTTTGCTTGCCCTTGTTTCATCAAACTCTTCTCAGTGAGCAATCTTGTATATTGAGAGCATGTTAAATGTCAAATTTTGTGTTCAAAGACAAATGTAAGTGACCACGATCCTTTGTCTTCAATTCACTGAAGTGACAGACATGCTATAGAATTTTGTTAGGTATTACAAGCTGTTACTGAATGCAGTCAAGCCTCGTTAATCAGAGCACTGTTACAAGATTCTGCTTATACCAAAGAAAATTTAGGTCCCAATCCTTTGTCAGTCATTGTTTTCATTCCTGATAATACAAGGTTCCTGTTATAACAAGGTTATTAGCCAAGTCCAAAGGACCTCTTATTAACGAGGTTCAACTCTACATGTATGTCACACAATGGTTCTCACAATATTGCCATTGGGGTCAACCGTTTTGAGATTTGTCATACAAATGGTAGAGTGAAGTCCTTGAGTCTTTACAAACATTTGGCATGGGACTTTCCTAGGTGATGATAGGGGATCAGGTCTAGAAAACAAGTTATCACTTTCATCATCCTGGGCAGTGCGTCTGCCGTTTGGCATATTCTACCGAATGTAGGCTGATCACCACGAAATGGTAATACTATACAACTAGCACGAACAGTAAAGCCCCTAGACAGAAAAACTGTACAGTCTATGATTGACATCTCATGTCTTCACAAGGAACATCTCATTGTGCAGTGGAAGGTTCCAATTCAGCGGCAGGGGTGTCTGGCTCCTCATCATTATAAATGTTCTCCGCCTGAGTTAAAATGAAACAAAGGGTAAGTCATTCTTCAGCTCGAGGACATGATTTCTGTGTTATAAACAACACTTCCATCAATTACATACAGTAGAGGACATTACAGGGAGGGGAGTATGATGGTTATTTCTGGTGCAGTCTGTGAAGATATTAACATATGGGGTCACATGATCTGATTTCCTCATAAATGATTTGCCCACTGCCATCACAAACAATGGCTACATTCATATGTGTTATGAGGACTGCAGGAGAGTGTTGCATGTGCATTACTCTTGGATCATACAGAAGATTCCCATTATAGTGCTCTCAAGGGGACCTAACAGAATTGAGTGTTACAACCACATAGCGCTATAACCGACTGGACGGACGGTACATCCATGTCAATTTTAGGACAAAAGTTTGGGCAAAACCAATTTTTTGCGGTGCCTTGTACTTTATTTTCTGAGGGTTTCTAGCATTTGCAAAGTAGTATTCCCCCCCAAAAAAACAAGCTCTCACCATCTGCCAGACTTGCATGATGTTGTCCTCCGATACCGAGCAGATGACCCATGGTTCATTAGGGTTCCAGGAGAAATCTGATATTTTGGCAGTGTGGCCACCGTGAATGAAGAGAAGTTCCCCTGGACCATCCTCAGCATCCTCTGGTGACTGCTCCTCTCCAATTTTGCTGCAATTCAAACCAAGATTGCCTGTTGTATAACACGCTACACCTCAAGCAACGGGCACCCTCAAGGTGAACATGGAGCTAAGATCTAGCGCTAAGCTGCAATCCGCTAATCTGGGGCCAATTTCATAGAGCTGCTTAAGCACAAAATTTGCTTGAGCGGGAAAAAACTTTGCTTAATTAACAAAGGTTACCAGCTCAACCTCCATGTGATTGTCATGCTAACCAGAAAGCAGCTAAATACGATCCCAAAACAATACACATCACATGGCATTTTGGCTAGTTACTTGATTTATCAAACAAGGTTTTTTCCCGCTTAAGCAAATTTTGTGCTTAAGCAGCTCTATGAAATTGGCCCCAGTAGTCAGAATAGCTTGAGGTTGATCTACATCTCCTACAACTTTGGCTCGACTTTCTTGCACCTCTAAAGGATTTTTTTCTGTTTCTTGTTCTGCTTTCCATTTCTTTGTTCCTGAACTCCGACTCCCAAAGTTTTTTTTTCCTGAACCCTCCAAAAAGAACACTCGTGTTGCATTAACATTTAATTCAATTTCTTACACTTGGGAAACATCTCAAATGTCAGGAATGCTGGTATTCACTTAGACGTGTATCACTTGAACATTAGCATGCCATCAGAATGTTCCTGCATCCATTGAGTAGTCTGTTTTGTGAGCAGGCTTTTTTCTGAGGCAGAGTTCTGATGGGAATGCCATGTTTCCAATGGAACAGCAGCATGCCTGTTCTGGAATGAGAACAAGGCATTCCAACTGGAACATTATGACCATTCTGAATTAGGAGACACTCCCTTAATAGAGATGAGATATTGAGACTCAAGTAAACCAACGGTTGAGCTATTGCATCTGGCATTCATCAAGGCTGAGCAAAGTTGGCATATGAGTTTGGAGGCTTTGGGGCGACTCAAGTCCAACAACCTGGGCCTGAGCCCAAAGGTAACTCAGCCAATTATCAGCCTCCTCCGCAAAAGTCCTTCAACACAGGTCACATTGTCTATTGTTACTAAATGCTATCACTGTGAGGGGGACCAGTGACCTTGCCTATACCTAGCCTCTCCTAATGCCACTGTCTTACCTAAGGTCCCATACATTGAGTCGTCTGTCAGTTCCACTAGATGCCAGGATGGTCTCGTTGTGAGGTGACCACTGCACCTGGAAGATCTCATCTCGATGGGACTCAAAGGAGTGAAGCTTGAGTTTCAGATTACGCAGATCCCACAATGCAACAGTCTGGAGAAAATATAAAAGCAGACTTCGGATTGGAACATTAACTTCCAATTTGGGGCCAAATTTTTGTTCAATACACAATTGTTAGTATTATGCTCATAAAAAAAATGGGGGGGGGGTATGTTTTTTCCAATTGTCAAATGCCACATATGAAAACTTTCAAGTGTCAATAATTAAAAAATCCAATTTTGCTGCCAGATACGGAGTTAGTTCATGAGTGAACGAATGACCGACCTCCCCCATTTCCTACTGAACACATCCAACTAAATGAATCTATACTTGACGACCTTCAGGTACGTCTTTGGAAAACTAGGCCATGTTCTTTTCTGCATCAATTTCATACATCTCTCACGCTCATGTTACATCTCTAATATTGGACTCTCACCTTATCAGCCGATCCTGTTGCTAAGATGAATTCACTGTAAGGATTGAAGGAGAGACAGTTGACCTCAGCTGTGTGTGCTTCCACTGAATGGCTGGCTTTGGAAGTGTTATTCACTCTAGTGTCCCAGCTGGTTGAAGATAGAGACAAAGATAAATCTCAGTACCCTACACAGCCTCTGTTAAATAAAGTTAAGTCCCCTACCTAAGGTATCCTCGGTTATGAAACACATCTTCCTTTAAAAGCAAGATTCTGTGAGGCTCCTAAACACTACAAATTGTACAGGAGGTACAGAATATTTCTTATGATGGTAACAAATATATCATTTCTAACTAAATTACACAAGTCAACTGCAATGAATAACTTGTATTAAAAGTATCAATCCAACAGGCAATCCTGCACACCGAAAACACTGTCAACTCCAAATAAAACTTTCTTTTTGCTCTATACTACAAAATTTGAAATTCCACAGACGAATAACAATGACATTTATTGCCACTGTAAAGAAAAGATTTACACAAAACATACAATTGGCACAAACAATTCACAGTAATAAGATAGCATAGGCATATCAAACTCAACAAATCATTTTTTTCAAAACCTACTTATAGTTTGGACAATTTTACTGGACCAAGCAGCCTAGATAATGAAAATTTAAGTACAAACATCCAACTGAATTCCTGCAAAGCGAAGTATTTTTGGAGGACTCAGGAAGGTTCCCAGGAATTCAAAGGGAGTTACAGATAATTTTGCATGGGAGACAGGTACTGAGAACCATCTTACATCATGAGTTTCTGATCATCGGCGACAGAGCCAAAGAGACTCTCATGGAGAAGATGCCAAGAGACGTCCTCCACGACTGCCGAGTGACCGGTGAAGATGGTTTTAGCATCCACTACACAAGCGTCTTTCTCATGACCACTGATATCCCACAGGCAGATAGTCTGATACAAACAGAGAATTGCAATGCTTGGACAATTGAAAGGAATTTCATACACGATTCTCTTCTACCCATGATCATCTGCTAGCCGTACTCACGATCATCTGACACCCATACATGATCATCTGCTAGCCGTACTCACGATCATCTGACACCCATACATGATCATCCGCTACTCATACTCACATGATCGTCTGAGGCACTCAGGAGGTTTCCACCCAGGTTGGGGTTCCAGGAAAGACCGTATCCTTCCTTCTGGTGCCCTCGCAATCTCAGGTCTGGTTTACACTCACCACTTGGATCTGGTAAGCAAATAAGACTTCTGCATAAAATATAAAGTCACTGCAGTGCCTAGAGGTGCATGGGTCTTTCCTCTCTTGACTATATCAGAGCTCTGTCTTGGCATGTACTGTATAACACCTCTTAAAGGTCTTTCACATGAAACTGGTGAAACTGTGAAGGTTAACTGAGGTTGCAATTAGCCAGTTATTGCCTTCCAATCCTACACTTTTATACCCTCCCCCTACATGTATTTAACAATCATTTGTTCAAGATTTGTCATTATGTAGGGATCTGGGGTTTCCCTGGGAGATGATTACTTTTGATGCGAATATGAACTCTGACCTGCTGGTCTCTGGCACGAGATCAATGCACGAGTATGAGCGACCCTTGCCGTGTGCAGACTAAATTATCTCTAAGCCACGTCCTTCGGCCGGAAGTTGCTTACATTGTATTACATTTTGGCAGGACCCGAGAAGTTTCTGGGCTTTTCTCAGTGATAGTTCCCACGCTTGAGACCTGCACCTTGGTGGGCTGGCAATCACAGCAACATGACTCCTTGTGGGATAACCTAAACCCTAAATTTCCGTTGGCTTTAGGGTTCATACCAGTTTGGGCAACTATTTAGACGTCAGGGTAAGAGAATTTATGATTGTACAGAGACATTTCGCAGTGTGAATTTATCATGGACATACCAAATGTAACATTTAGTACGATGTACATGTAAGCCATCACTCATTAATAGTGTGTCCTCTGTCTTTCTTTAGGGTTTTTTCCCTTGGCTTCTTTTTGGTTACAATTTCAGGTGATGGACACCTGGGAATATATCGAAGGGAATCAAGCCACAGTCGTCTCGAGTCCATTGTTTGGCCTGGTTTTGCGCCTCCTGTCCTCCTTAATTGGCGGACGGATCTCCACCCTCCTGACAACTGCAGAAGGACCTGACCGCTACAATTAACTGACAAAAAAATTTGGGAACTTGAACATCTTTTTTCCCCCAAGTACTAGTTAGATCATTCCATGAGGATGGGGCACAATTTGTGACGGTGTTCTTGTTACATGGGTAACTTTTACCACCTGTCACGACCTGTAGAGTAAGTAATTTACTCTGTAAAAATAACACACACCTCTGTATTCAGCATAGCAAGATGTATTTATAACAATGTCAATCTTGAATCCACATGCAGGGCAATAGTTGTTCACTTTTATGGAACCCATGTAATAACTGACAGTCACAATTGTGCCCAACCTGATGGAATGGCCAAATTTAAGTGTGATTACAGAAGGTTTCCCATGATGCCTTCAACGTGAACTAAAGAAAGCTCAGTTGAATAAGACAGGGCCCTGGTTGGCTCACCAGTAGTATACCAACCTACCTACAACTAGACCTACCTGGCTTGGAGGGATGCTTTGTGTAGTCAAAGACCAGCACATCACTGGAGGGTGTCTTGGTTGCAATGATGGTAGGGTTTTGTGGCATGTACCTAGCCCGGTTCACCTCTCCCTCGTGGTTGATTTTGATTTCTATTTCAATTTTGCCACTAACTGAACCAAAGCCTCCAAATTCTGGGAAGAAAAAATTATTCACAAGTACTGAATATCTGATCTGAAAGTTGTGTTCACAAGGACAAAGACGAATTGGATTGATTCGATTAAAAATGGGTTGATTTTATGGTTACACTTCAGTTTTCAGTGGTTTCACTTTGATAACCTCACTAGTGACCTAAATGTGCAACTACAATGAGTGTTATTTTGAAGTGCTCATCTCTATTACGACACACGATGAAGACATCAACCTCAGCTAGAACCAAAAACCTCTTGTACAGAATTTTACCTCAGGAAACATGGATTATGAAAAAAAAGGCTGCTTATACATGTACATACATGTACATCTATAAAATGCCCCAATGGCATACAGTGGCAAATTAATATTAAAATTGCAAGGAACATAATTAGGTTTAGGGGTCACCATATTTAGGTTTTTAGGTGTCACCGTATTTAGGTTTAAGGTTCAACTAGCACGTACATGTAGTATCAAGGATCCAGAATAACATTAAGGGGTTTAGCAACCTACATGTACTTCTTTCAACCTTACTTTCCAGTTTAATGATTTGAATGCCATTGAAGATGAACAAAATTATCTCAACTGATAAGTCTTATTCCCTACCTCCTTTTTCACTGTCATAATGAGATGCATCAAACTGAGCATCATCATTTGGCAGCTGGACGCTTGCTATCACCAGGTGGTTCTGTTCATCAGAACTGTGAACAAAAAGCAACACATTATTACAAAACCCAAAATGGTCAACCCTAAACATTTTTGCAGGAATCTTTCTATCAATTTAATGGTACATACTCAACTGGTGATTATCAATGTGCGCTGCACACTCAGGTCAAAATGCATTTAAGCTTTGCATGATTCCAGCATTGGAGTCGAGCCCCAACTCAAGTCCTTTCACAAGCCTGCTCACAAGCTCAGTCACTAGTCCCTTTACACTATCAATAACGGGGATCAAATGACCAAGGACCACTTTCGTCAGAGTTCATTTGAAAACCATTAGCTTGTGCCTTGGCTTAAAGCTACATGTAAATGATTTGTGATGGACTTGTGGGTACTAACACGTATGATGGTCTCAACACAGCCATCTTGGATCAAGACAGCATTAGCGAGAAAGCCACGCATCTCTTTTCAATATCCAGTTCTTTAGGTAGCACTGACTTTCAAGCCAATTCTTAAAAGAAATCATCATTTTGAAGTTTCTTTTTCTAAATATAAGGTTCAGTGGAATGCTGTGGCCTTGTCGTTATTAAGAGCACTGCATTCATGTCTGTGGGTAACGCCGCATGCAATGATACAAGTTACGGGTTCGAATCCAGCCTGGGGTCATGCCATGTGTACCCTTGGGCAAGGCACTTTGTCACTCCTTGCCTCTCTCCACCCAGGGGTATTTGGGTACCTTGTGAGGGCAGAACTGGTTACTGTGGTTGATTTAGCTGCTTCGTGCCAAAAATGGCAGCATCGAGCTGTGTACTCCCCGGGGAACCGAGACGGTACTTGGATTGCTTCATTGGCCAAGTGAGCAAGAATGGAAAGTGCTTTATTCTTAGCTAAAAAGCGCTACATAAAAACCTAATATTATTAACAAAGAAAACAAGGCTTTGTAGACATAAAAATGACTTTTGAGTTGACATCACCACATGTTAAGTCAATTGTACAATACATTTTATACATTTTTAACATATCCCTGACTATACAACTGTGTTGATATAGACTTAAACAAGAAATAAATGGCAGACCTAGCCAAAGCTGGAGCTTATGTGCATGATGGGAGCACTTACGTGTGTGTGCCGAGTACCAGTCGATGGATGGAGTAATCTTTACCCTCTGGCCTGTGGGGTCCAATGACATATAGTTTGTATATGTAAGAGATGATCGTGTGAAGTACATGTAAGCCGCAAAAATGGAGTTTCATCTGGTTTGTGATAACATGTGGTGAACAATCATCAAGTTTCAATGAGCTCTTTTATTCAAACGGCAATCCCTGTTCATTTTGTTTTATTCTCACTGTACAAAGTACACAATCTGTTAGCCCAATATCACAACTTGAAAATCCATTCCCTACTGAGCAAAGCGTGAACTTTGGAAATGATATTTGGAAGGAAGTTCAAAGTAAGGAAATCTCAAACATCAACCTGTCAACAACTTTTTGCGTTTATTTTTCCTAATGTCAATGCAACAATGCACACAACATGTAACTGTCATTTCACTTCATTTTGAGATCTGCATAAATAATTGATTAGTGGCAATTCTACACATGTACATGTATGTGTGTTTGCCTTGACCAGCCCCACAAAGGGAATTGTTTTCTTAGGAAATTTGGGACCCAATTAATTAAAGTGACAACAAATCTCTCCTCACATTAACTTCTTGATCAGCATGTGTTTAGTTCCAACTATTATGGTGCCAGTACATGGGTGAACATACCCTAACCCAACCCAATCCTCCAAAATCCTCTGGGTGGTCTTGGGGGATTTTGGAGGATTGAGGATGTGCCCTTGTAAAAAAAGCCCTGGTGGGTAAGGGTTAACTTTTGGCCTAGGCTCACCTTCTGACATCTGGTAGCCACTGAGAGGTCAGACTAGGCCACTCCAAGGCATGAGTCATCACAAGGTCATAGAGAAAAGGCGTGTTCTTCTTCCATATCTTGTATTCCTCGTTAATAACACGTTCCTCAACAGCATCATCAAAGGGTTCTTGGACTGCTGAATAGACAAGCAAATATGGACTCATGTAATTTCTGTGTGAAATCAAGATTCGGATGTACGACATGCGTCTTTTTACCCATGACATCCCCTGTGTTTTATGTGCTGAAATTTTGCCAGTATGCTCACTGCTTACCTGTACTGGTCAGACTGTCCACAGGTTGCTATTCAAAGGGAATTTACCTTTCCCCAAAATTTAGGAAGATATTCACTGCTGCCATAAGACTGCGCAGTGCACTAATTTTCATCATAACTTTTGACCTGCCTTTGATCCAGACACCTTTACAGGTGTGTCCAAAGTAGTGGGTCTCTGACAAAAGCACCTGTCTGGTTGATCAAATCGTATACAAATGCAGTCACAACGCGCACTCCTTTACATCTGACTTGGAGGTTGCTCTATGGAAGCACCTGTCTCGACAGGCAGCAATCTAAATACTGGTGACTGTTTTGTATGACGTATCAAAGTTCTGTCATGTCTGTGGCTGTGTAACGCAGTGCTCAT